AAAACGGCGTCGTGTAGTTTCTGAAGCACTATCAGATCTTCTTTTGAATCAATCATTTCTCGCATCTTCTCTTCTCCCTCCGACACTCTCTCTGTGCTTTCTGAAATTTTCATTGTTTTTTTTAATTCAAACAATCTTCACGCCAGAGATCTCTCCAGAATCAACAATGGATAATCCTGTTGTTCAAGAGGTACGTACGCCTATACACATCTACCTATATGACCGCCTATGTGCGATGTCATGCATCTGGGGTGGTGCGTCGTTTGATGTAGTCCGAGGAATTTGGAAAATTTTGTGTTCGATTGGATTTTTGGTGGCAGGTTCTGGAGAAGCAAGTTCTGACGGTGGTGAAGGCCATGGAGGATAAGCTGGACGAGGAGATCTCGGCTTTGGATCGGCTCGACGATGACGATCTGGAGGCGTTGAGGGAGAGGAGGCTACAGCAGATGAAGAAAATGGCGGAAAAGAAGAGACGTTGGGTTGGTCTCGGACACGGTGAGTACTCGGAGATCGCCTCCGAGAAGGATTTCTTCTCCGTCGTCAAGGCGAGCGAACGAGTCGTTTGCCACTTCTACCGCGAGAACTGGCCCTGTAAAGTATGAATTCGTAAACATATCCTCTTATCCGCATTGTTGGCAGTTTCAGTTTGGCGTCGTTGATTCGATCTCTGGGTCGTGTTGCAAAGTGCTCTTTTCCTTTCTCCCTGTGCTTGTTGGGTAGAATTTAGTGGCAGCGTTAGGTTGTATTCGAAATTTCAGACTTCTGTTTCAGGGTATGGGTTTCAAGGAGGTGTTAGTTTCCATTTCAGAAGCTGAATTTGCAGAGAGGGTCTGCTTCTGGAGTTTACCAGAAGCTGAGTATGTTACCGGAATGCTTAGTGTGGTTAAGATAGAGGGAAAGAAAGCGGAAAGTGTTCATATTGTGGTTTCTTTAAGTATAATTGATATCGGGTTCTTTTTGTTTCTCTCCACATTCTCGATTTCGGAGTCATTTGGCAGACACAGCTTCTGGGGTGATTATTACATTGAGAATTCGTTTCATGGATTCCTAGAATAAGTTTTCTTGTGATCATCAACTCATGATCACGAGGTCGATATGTGTTTAAAGAGATAACTCAAGATGATTAAGCCTCGTGCTTATTTTTCGACTCCTTTTCGGGTATATTTACCTTTCTTTTGACGTTTCCATCTCGTCTTTATAGTTTCTGTGTGCTATGGAAATTCATTCATCCTCTCTCTCAATCTATCTTAATACTTGCTATAGCAATTCGTTTGCCCGAAAGCCATACTATCTCCGGCCTTTGATGGAGTATATGTTTTGGAACTTTTTCTCTTTTGCAGGTGATGGACAAGCACATGAGTATATTGGCAAAGCAGCACATCGAGACACGATTTGTGAAGATTCAGGCGGAGAAAAGTCCGTTCTTGGCTGAGAAGCTGAAGATTGTCGTTCTTCCGACGCTAGCCCTCATAAAGAATGCCAAAGTGGATGACTATGTGGTATGCTAAAACGGAATAGAAACAAATGCTACCAATCTCTTCTTACAATCTGATTCTCGACAATGCCTTTTTTGTTAGGTTGGGTTTGATGAGCTCGGCGGCACTGATGAGTTCAGCACAGAGGATCTCGAAGAAAGGTTAGCAAAAGCTCAAGTGATCTTTTTCGAGGGAGAGTCATCCCATAAGCCGAGGTCTAGTGGACAAACCAGGAGGAGCGTAAGACAGAACGCAGATGCGGATTCTGACTCGGATTAGAGTCCGAATTCGACCAGGTTTACTACTTGCAGGGAGTATATCATGCCGGGTTTTCGTACTATGAAGAGGAGTGCTATATTTCGAGAGGCTTCTCAACAAGTTTGCTCTATACAACTCTCTAGGTAAAAGAAATTCTTCCGAACAAATATGTTGTCGTCTTTAATTACAAGTGGTTCATCTTTCCCATGATCCCATCATTTTGATGATCTAGGTCATTGGCTATGTTCCTAGTATTAATTATCAGCAATTTGATTAACCCTTTTCAATTTTTTTTGGAAAACAAAGCCTCGATCGAGATTTTTGCTTGGAAATTATTGTTATGTCAGGTCTCGAGCAAAAAAATCAAGGCTTTTTTCCTCTTCAATCAGCAAATACCTCTTGAGCTCTTGGCACAACAGTTAGGGTTTCATCTGTTTCACAAGTTATGACAAAAGGGAGCAACTTGACAGCACAGTTACACTTTCCTTTTATTGCTCATACGGTCCAAAACCCAAACTCAAAACAAAATAAAGACAGTAATTTTAGCATCGTCATTCTTAAGTTGTAACTTTACATGGGACATGATTAGGCAGTTCTGTCCGAGAAGCACTTGCACAGGCGCTGCTAAGCTCGTGATCGATTATCGATTGCAGATCCATCTTTCCCTCGAGAAGATCGAGTACCGCCAAACGCAATTGATAACACTGGTGACAAGTTCGCGAGATGTGTATATATATAAGCTTCAAACGACGTCGGACCCATTTGTGTCACTTGCCAACGACAAAACCTCCATCAGTTCCATCCGGTATTCCAAACCTCTAAGATAGTGTCCTAACAGCATGCACCTGCCAGAAAGAAAAGATATGAATCTTCCAAGGTTTTGCAATAAAAATCGATAAAAGGACTTCCATAATATATTTCAAACATCGAGAGGAATGGAGAAGAGGCGAATCAAACCAGAAGAGAAGGCGGGCGAGATAGTCACGGGTTAACGAGATGAGAGGCTGGAACTGAATAGAGGTGTTCTCAACAAGTTCAGCACAGTCTTCGTCGCTCTTAGCTTTCACCGTTTCAGCGGGTGGGCCCTCTGATTCCGGCAACTTAGAATGCATCTTAGGCGAGAGCGTTGCAAGAAGGCCGTGGACAACACAGTGGATCGTCTCTTTTACTTCGGGAGACGTAGGTTCCGATAACTCAGCCACCTGATTGAATGGTTAGAAAGAGATGAAAAAAAAGAATTCAACAAGTTGAATATCAAAGCTACAGAAAATCGTTACAAAAACCTTTTCGGGTTGTAAAGATCTCAGGTAGTCAAGCAAATCGTTCTTTTCTTCCCCGACAAACTGCTGCATTTGAAGGGCAGCGTTCTTTCTCTTGGTCTCTTGGAGTTCCTTCAATACAACGATACCATAAAACGTTAAACGTCAAAACCCGGAATGGGAAACTAATGGGAAAACTCATCATAGAATCTAAAGAAACTCAACCATACTTTTCAAAGATAGAGAGACAAGTGGTACCATTAGAATTTAGAAAGTTTACCTTTTTCACAGAAGACAACTGCGACTGCAGACGCAAAATATACTGTTGAGCTTCGGGAGGAATTCTACCAAGACCTTCTTTATCAATCGTCTCAGGAAGGTTCTTTATCAATTGTTCACTTGTTTCTGCATCATCGAGCGATATCCCTTTGAAATCGTATTCAGCATTTTCTGAAGTTTGGTTTTCTGAATTTCCACCATTCATGTCAAGGTTTTTTTCGAGGAAAAGCCTATATTCAGCATTTCGCAATGTGTACCTGCAATGTAGCAAAACCTCAAAACCAGTATCTAGGGAAAGGTAGTTCAATGGCCCAAAGCCGACACACCAATCAACAAGCTAATGATTTGGCATCATGAAAGCAGATATGAAACAAGATTTCAAACAAATTGGCTATCAAAGATACTCCATGACAACTGCATTCCAGGACCAATGATAACTCAATAAGAATTATGGATGACTATGGATTTCAAGTTCACTTTCTGCCGCTTTAACCTCGTCTACAACAAAACGTGAGCCGATAATACTAGAGACAATGGAAATTTTGATACCAAAAGATGCATCTGAAAGGTATAGCAGAAAGGAATTCCCTCATTATAACCTATTTTGATGGTAATTTACCCGCAATTTATCAGGGAAAGGAAAAGAGAGTTAATATTCCGATTACGAATTCATAGTCTAATGAAGACATACCCAGTCATCATAGATGAAACCAGTAGCTTCGACAAAGGCTCCCAAAGCGAGTCGATATGAACCTGAAACCTGTCGGACGGAAGCAGACCCAACATGCCCGAGATTGTTCTTTTCATGGCATCCAAAGTAGTGGGCGGAACATCCTTTTGGATAAGGCTCACGTCTAATGGTTCTATCTCTTGGATAAGGTCTATAAGTAAGCATTTCTGTATAAAAAACACAAGATTAAGACAAATCAAAACTCCAATAACTCAACAGCCACCATATGAAATCGGCATTTAGTACAAACAAACAAAATCCAGTGATGTAGATAACATGATGCAAAGCAACTACACACAAACACAGTTCAAGACCATATGGGTCTGATCAGTGTAAGTCCAGACTCCTTCCAAAGCATTGATTTAATAATGCCCATTGATGCGAAAACTAAGCAAAGCTATCAGGTGAAAACCTTCATCTTCTCTTAAATCATATTTCGAATTCACTTCAAGCAATGGGGAATTACAACATAGCAGCAATTTTCAATGGTTCATATAAAGCAATTTGGCCGACAAATTCATATATACACAGTTCAAAGTCTCGAATTCTGCCCAGAAACTCAAAAGCAAAAGGTGCCCACAAATCGTCAGATATGGAAAGCTTTCCAGCACGCCAAAAGCTTCTGAATCATCCGAATTTCGAGGGAAAACCCCAGAATTATCGCGAAGAACTAACAAACTCGGGAAAAATAAGCCAAACCTTGGAGGGGTTAGGTGACCGAGAATCTGAATTGAGAGCGAAATCGTCGAGAGAGAAGCCATCGTCGCGATTACTGCTGAAATGATCCGAAGAAGGAGAAGCAGCGGCAGTGAGAATGAGACTTCGATTTTTTCTGGAGAAATCGAATCGAGGAACAGCGAAGAGGCAGAGAGAAGAAGGGTTCGAGGGTTTACGGGCAAGTGGAGGAAGAGAAAGAGAGAAGGAAGAAAGAGTCGTCGCCATTAAAGGGAAGGATTAACGGCGAATAAGCACCAACCACTCTTCTTCTTCTTCCTCTTCCTCAGAGCCGAACCCCTAATGTTTGCTTCTCTGTCCAATTCGGCAGAGGGACGACGACAACCACAGAACAAATCCAAACGGAACAAATCGAAGGATTGACAGATCGTCAAAGAAACCGGTCGATTTCCCTTAACCGAGACGGTTTAGACATTGGGCGAAGAAAAACCCGGTTCAGTGTCTTTCAAGTCAAACGGAACGTTTTCTATTTGTGGCCAACAAAAAACATATTATTATTAGTAGTATAACCACACATTAACACCATGGATTTCTTTGATATTATGTTATCTAGTTGTTTTAAAAATTGGAAAAAAAAGTTCACATCTCAAATTTTCACCAAACATATTTCAAATATCTAATGAATAGTCATCAGAAAACTTTGTTGGACTGTAACATGTAACAACTCGCACATAATATCCATAGTTACGGGATAAGAAAATTTTTAAATAAATATATCAATTTGCTAATATCTTCCAAAAAATTATATCAATTCGTAATTTTTTTCTAAATTACTACATGGACACTAACACCGTTAATTTTGTAACGGTTTCCGCTAAACGGTGTTTACGTGCCTTATCGGATTTTCTACGTCACCACCACATGTCAAAATTTTTCCATGTCATTAAAAAATAAAAACAAATTCTAAATTAATCTAAATAAAAATAAAATTTTAATTAAAAATTTTAAAAATTTTAAAATTTTAAAATTTAAATACAATAATATATACACATATATATACATATATATATACATGTACATATATATGACGTATGAACATATATACAAATATATCTTAATGTGAATAAAATTAATATATATATATACTCATTTATACATCCATATATATATATATAGGTATATTTGTTTATATATATATATATATATATATTCATATTGAGATGTGTGTGTGTATATATGTATATGCGTATATATATATTGAAATATATATATATATGTGTATACATATATTGAAAATATATGTATATATGTATATGTATAAGTATATATATATATATATATTTATTATATATGTATATATGTATGTGTATATACTTAATTTTAAATTTTAAATTTTTAGTTTTTTAATATTTATTTTTTTAATTTAAATTTAAATTTAAATTTTGAATTTTGAATTTTAATTTAAAATTTTATTTTTTAGATTTTTTATTTAAAATTTTTTTTAAACTGTAAATTTTGAAATTTAAAATTGTTTTAGTGTTTTTAATTTTTAATTTTTAATTTTTTAATTTAAATTTAAATTATTTTTATTGAAGTTAATTTTAATTTTGTTTTTATTTTTTAATGACATGGAAAATTTTGGCATATGGCGCTGACGTGGAAAATCTGGTGAGTCATGCCAGCACCGTTCACTAGAAACCGTTACAGAGTTAACGGTGTTAGTGTCTTTGTAGTAATTTGGGAGAAAATTGCGAATTGATGTATTTTTTTGGAAGATAAAAAGTTTATATATTTATCAATAAGAAATTAGTAAATTGATGTATTTATTTGAAATTTTTTCTATAGGATATGGTGGATCTAGATTAATAGCATTGACATCTATATTAATAATATTGGTCGGATGATCCTAATACACTTAAATTAGTTCTAATTAATTTAATTTAATAAAAAAGAATAATATTAATTTTATAGTATAACCAATAAAACCAACTTAATATCGTTTTCATAGTATTAACGAAATTCCAATGATAATTTTTCTCGGCAGCAAAGGGGGACTCAAGTTCCAACGAAAGGGTTCATCTATTTATTTTTAATGTTGATTTACTTTTTTTTTGGTAAATAAAATATATCATACTTAAATACATTATTATATATAGAGAATGGACCATCACTTTAATCAGTTACGGTTATTTCAGATTTTAAAAACTCATAACCAAACGGTTATTTAATTTTTTTCAATTCGGTTTATATCGATTTCAATTCGATTTAGTTTTATCTATTTAAAATTTTAATCGAATTATAATTAAATAAATATTCGCTTCCATTCGGTTTTTATAATAAAAGAATATTCAAACAAAATATGATATAAAATATCATCATTATCATATTTAACATATAAAACAATAAAATTATAATTTATTTTACATATAAATAATAAAATAAAAAGACTTGATAAGTACATCTCATTCTATTCAAATGTTTATATGGTGAAAACTTTGAAAATAATAAAATAATGATGAAATAAATAAAAAAGAATAAAATAATGATTAAATTAGAAATTTCATATATCCATGTGTGTACATATATGGGATGTATAGATGTATAAATGGATCGGTTCACTTCTTTTGGTTATTTTGAATTTTGAGAATTAATAACAAATGATTATTAAATTTTAATCGGTTCGATTTGATTATTTTGGATTTTGAGAATTCATAATCAATAGATTATTCGATTAGGTTCGGTTGATACCAAAATAACTTTATTCAATTCAATTTAATTAATAATCAAAATAATTGAACCGAATATCATCCCTAGTCATATACAGATGATATTTCTTTTTGTTATCACGGTCTTTTCCTGGAAGTGTCTATATATTGCAATGATAAAGTAAAATCACACTTTAATATATGTTATAATAAATAGAAGATTATGTGAAACTAACACCCTCGATGAAGAGCATTTTTAATAACGAAAAATGTTATATATATATATATATATATACATACAAAGAATTAAAGGGTGGCCAAAAAAAAACATCAAGAACAAACAGTAGACAGTTCCTTAATTTTGTGAACTTGGGTGTTACAAGATTTGATTGCATGAAACAGACAATAAGTTAGATGAAGAACATGTTCCAATGCTCCAATGTTTTGTTACAAACCCAACAAGTTTATTTAATTTTTGCATCCTTATAACTCATACAAACAACATCACCAAACAGTTCATGGTACTTGTTTCCCTAACCAGACCCTATATATATATATATATATATATATATATATATATATATATATATATATATATTATAAAAAATATATACAC